GCAGCAGCAGTATCAGCAGCAGCAGCCACAGTAAAGAACTAGAACCACTAAGAAAGACATACATAAACATAGCCAATCAGAGCAGTACAAGCGGCTACAGCTTGGGAAGATAACGACACATGATAATGCCGGTTTTGGATTCAGAACTGAGGGTTTGGTAGTTAGGTTTACTGGAAGCTGTAGCAGGTTTGACTTCTTTCGTCCTCAAGGGAGATCTTTCCGTCATGGTCGAGGTCGATGTCGGTGAAGGTGGCTTCGACTGCTTCCATATCCAGCCTGATCCACCCGGTTAATCTAGGGGCCTTAATAATGAGAATAGGGGGACTACAAGGGAATAACAATGGAGCGGGATCACCCAAAACCCTTAACCTATACTACACTGATAGTAACCCTTGCAGAAGCTATTATGGTACGAGTACCCTAAACTCCAAAGCATAAACCAGGCAAGAGGCTCGCCATGCCGCCCCTTGGCTGCCAGGGCAAAGAGGCAACTCCGATGCATCTGCGGTGCCTGGCAGTGTAAGGGCCTCAAAGAATTAGAATAAGGTATTGGGCTCCTGTAAAGGGTTCTATAAGGAGATTTGTAAGGGGTTTTCGGGGTTTTTAGGCTCAGGGTTGCTTGCTAATAGGTTGGAATGGGGTTTGGGGCTCTTTCATTGATAGCACAACGAGAGTAAGGAACCCTAAGGAATAACCGGAGTTCTGGTCGGCCAGCCGGTGAGTTAATGTAGGAACCTGATCAAGAGACCCTGGGTTTTTGTTAGGGTTCTTTATATGAATCCTACTATTTTGGGGTTATAGGGCCAGGGTTTCTTAATCAGGTTCCTACATTGCTTTTGGTTCTACTGCAACTTTCTCAAAGGTCACTCTAGTTCTACAAGGCTTCAACCTGGGGCTCTGGGCTCTGGTGGGTTCTTGGTTAAGGGATTTAACGTTAAGCTACCATAAATAAGGTGATCATCTTATGTACTATAGATCCCTAGAACTTAAGCTTCATCCCATACCCTTAGCATCAAAATAGCCCCAAGGCCTTATACAAGAGGGCCTTTGGGCCCAAAAGCCTCAAAACATGAATGCTTTGAGGGTAAGGGATAACAAGAACCCGGTATCCTCTTAATAGATGCCTAGCATGGTAACTTAAGAGATAAACCCTTAACCCCTAAACCCTAAAATCCCGGAACAAGAACCCAGTATCCTCTTAGGATCAGGATGCGGCGACTGAGGGCTCCCGGTCTTCCGGCGCAGCGTTTCAGGCTTCCCGGGTTGGTGCGAAGCAGCTCCCAAAAGATTGAAAGAAAGAGCTAATATGGAGGACCTTCATAATCAGAATAGGGTTTCGGGGTATATTACACTATAGTTATAATACTATTAGTACTCAAAGGAGTCATGGGACTTAGGGACTCTAAAGGGTTCTTTCAAGGTTCTAAAAGGAATCAGAAGGGGTTTTGGGGTTCACTGAATGGATCATGGTCTGAGCACCCTTCGCGCTGAAACATTCACGGCAGTCACAGACATGGTCAGCAGCATGTGCCGCACGACTCCGAACACCCGGACTGAAGCATGGCAACCCCATTTCCAATAGCTGCACGACTCCCCTCTCACTGTTTCGCAGCCGACAAGTGAAGGTGCAAATGCAAGGTGCTGCAAGGACCGTCACATTGATGGTTAAAGTGCGTTGAGGCCCTAAATTCGTATGTCCTTGTTAACGGACTGTTGCTGCAAGGAGGATCGGCTCAACCAATGACGCCCGAAACCAGGAGCCCTTGTTGCTATGTTCCTGATGTATGGTGCGAGAGTGGTAGGAGCATACCAACCTCAAGCGGTGAAAGGCTGGGCCCTGCATAAACGCATTATGAATCCCATAAACCCCTGCAGCCCCCTACTTACAAAACGTAGGAGATCCCATAAAACCAATCCCTTAAAACATAAATCAAGGGACTAAAGGAGGGACCCTTAAAGGGACCCTTGGGGTTATACAGGGGCTTTATGAGACAATATAAGGGGTATTCAAGGGTTATATATATATATATATCTATCTATATGGAGGGTATTTGGATTCCCTCCTATTGTCCCTTAAATAAAACTCCCATAAACCAGAACTAAAACCATACACAACCCTTTTGGAATCACACAAGGGCCCTTAAACTGCATTAAGCAACAGGCTGCTGAACCCATAGAAGAGCCTATGGGCCAAGTCAGCCTCGGCGAAGTCTGCAAAGGTCCGAAGCATTTCCTGCGGGTTCATGGTTTACGCTCTCGCAAGTCAGACTCTGCCAAACGGGGTCTCTGTGTCCAACTACGACTACCTGGCTCCTTTCAAGTCGGCAATCTCTGGTTCAGTTTTGTGTTGTTAAACGTCTCTCTTACGTCTCGCGAGATCTCTGGCTCTTTTTTTCCCACCTGCCCAGCGGACGAAGTCGCACCGCAGGCAGCTCTTGTGCAGGGTTGAGGGTTCAGGGTGTCGGCTCAGGGGTCAGGGGGTCTAGAAGCGCACCATGAAGGCTGATCAATTCGAACGGATTCCGGATTCCACAGGGGGCCTCGGGGTTTATATAGGGCTATGGGTTTTTTGGGGGGGCCTTATACAGCTCGATTAAAGGAAACTACAGGTGGGGAGTTTAGGGTATATAGGGCTTCTATAAGGCTTCTATAAGGTATACAGACCTTCTATCAGGCTCCTATAACGGTAACTACCTCAAAATGTCCTAGATTGTAGAAGCCATTATGGTACCCTAAACTTACTAAGCTCCAAACCATGAGCCTATGGTGTAGTAACCCTTATAGAAGCCATTGGGGTACCCTAAACTCCCAAGCATAGACTTGAGGAGCTTGCAGCCGGCTTGAGGAGGCTGTTTTGCTCGATGAACATGATCCAGACCCTACCCTAAACACCAAACTGTCTAACGTAGGGGCCTAAATCATTACCAATACTTCTTTTTTTTTGTTTTTTAGGGGGGGGGGTGCCTTATTATAAGTATACTATTTAATGGGCCCCAAAACCCTATTCTAATTAATTATGAAGGCCCCTACATTACAATGCCGAAGGCCGCCAGTCTAGATCATGAGCCCTTGCAACCCTGAGCCCCAAACAACAAACACTGCAAGACACAACTGCTGAAATCCTGTAATATGAGTTGTCAGTTAGTTCGAATCCCCAGGCCCAGTTATCCTATCCAGGGAACATGAAAACCCGAAGTCTACCTGTGTCCCAATCTACTAACCGTTACTAACCTTAGAGCCCAAAGCCCAACAAGCCTCTACACAAACCATCCCAAACCCGTCACCGGGCCCCAAACCCTGGAGCCAAAAAAAACCCGAAACTTTTGAGCCCGAGAGCCCCAAAGCTTGAATCTAAGGTTTCAAGTATGGGACCCTTAGGCCTTTCTAGGGACCCTTAAGGGTTCCCAGGGTTAAGGGCCCATACTAGGGGCCCATGGGTTCAACCTCAGATGACCAAGTGCACGCCCTAAACCCTAAACCCAAAACAGGGGTTCAACCTTAGATTGAATCTCAGAACCAGGAGCCCGACCGGTTCTATCGGCGCCGGAGCTGGCCGGTAGCGGGCCAGCCAGGGATGACCCAGGGCCTGAAACAGGGCTCTGACGAATCAGCCATGGTATCCCCCTTCTGTAGACCAAAGATACTACTATATAGTTTTAGAACACTTTCCCCCCCCCTCCCCCAAAAAAAACCTAGACTATGCTAAAGCCCCGAAGAGATTGAGTGCTTGAGGGATCGTGGGTTCGGGTTTTCGTGTTGTGGATGTCTAGATTCAGGTGCTTGGATTTCGGGTCCAGGTCCAGGGCTAACGGCGTTAAAACGCACATGCAGATCCCAGGTTGAGGTGCTTTTTGTGCCGGCCCAATGTAAAGGATCCAAAGCCCAGGCGTTCCAGTCAAACACCCGCGATCTCACCAAAGCTGTCTGCCACCCGCTCGCTGAAGCCCCCTGCTGCGACACCTAAGACCGTGAACCCCAATCCGAAACCCTAAATGAATGAAGTTGTGACCCTGACGCCCAGCCCTTGAACCCAATGCGATTTAGGGTATTTAGTGTCCAACGTCGGCGACAGGCTTAACAAAACCCTAAACTCTAAACCTTAAACCCTCCGAAACGCTATCTTGCAACACGAACGATGACATCGAAGTTGGGCAACCAGGGACCCCTGGCCCTGCATCCCGGGCACTTCACAAAAAAAACTGCTGAAACTATACAGCTAAACTATACAGCTATCTCGGGGTTTAGGGTCTTAGGGTGGTTGGTGTTCATAAGAGTGCGGCCCTGTCGGGCCCCACGGGTGCTCCCTGAACTTGTTTTGACAAGATGCCCGCAACACATGGGTAGTTCTCTAAATGAGGGTCCCTGTTTTAGTCCCCAATATAGTACGGCACCCTTATAAAAAGGACCGTAAAAGGGACCCTAGTTTAGAGAACTACCCACATGCTTTATCCAGAGCAGCGATGCTTGCAAAGACCCTTTGAGTCGGCAGCCTGGGCTGCTGTCGGTCGGTCCTGGACGCAAGGAGTCCCAGGGATTAAGCTTAGGGATTTCAAGGTTTCGTAGTTCAGGGGGGGAGTTTGGTAGCACCCTAAACCAAACCCTAAAACCCTGAACCCTAAACTAAAACCTTAAGATACCCTGAAACCCTAAAATGCCCCAAAGTAAGCCCTAAAATACCCTAAAACACTAACACCCAAAGCTCCCAGGCCCTGAACCCTTCCCAGGAACCCTTCTTTTAACCGCGAAGCCGCTTTTATTTAGGGCTCCCAGAAGAACCCCTGACCTTCCTCGGTCTTTAGGGAGTTCAGGGTTTAAAATTTAAAGTTTAGGGTTTAGGGTTTAGGGTTTAATTTTCCTGGGAAGGTAGGATGAGGGTACTGTAGGATGTAGGGTTTCGGCGCTCACACTCGGACGATCGGCAAGCCTTTTGACCGTTTTCAGGAGCCCACTTTCAGGGTCCGAAAAACGGCGAAAACCATAGGACACATCAAAGTACCCCCAGGATGATCTAAGAACCTGCTAATCAGGACATGTCCCCTCCCTGTCGGGCTAGGGTTTAGGGTTTTTTTGGGGGATTTGGGGCTTAAGGTGTGCTTTTCTTTTGGCTTGCCCCGCCTGCATCCCACCCTGGAGACCTTTGGTATTCCTCTAAAGCCCAAAAACCGAGTTTGTGAGCCCGTTGTGGTAGCCTTTATGGTAGGCTTTGTAGAACCCTTTAAAGGCATCTATAGGAGTCCTTACAAGGTCTTTATCTACGGAAATCCTGTTAGGGTTCCTTTGCCGCATCTGCGGTAGTCCTTCAAACGGATCCTGCAAGGGATCTACAGGCAAATGTAGGGGCCTTAGTAATTAGAATAGGGTTTGGGGGGTATATTATTCTGTAACTATAATAAGGAGCCCCCCAAAAAACTTTACGGAATTAATAAGCCCCATATTAAACCTACTCTACCACTAAGTAGTAAAATACTATACGAAATGATTACGGCCCCAATATTAGTTTAGAGGGATCCTCTTCTCAAGTTGGCGGCGACAGGCCTCGGGATCTGCCGCGAGGACGAAGCGCAAGAAGCTCTTGGCCTCGTCGCAGCGCTTGAGACTTCAGCGTCTACAAAAAAGGCTTCAGAAAAGAGAGTATAGTCTGGTCTAGTCTAGTCTAGTCTAGTCTAGTCTAGTCTAGTCTAGTCTAGTCTAGTCTAGTCTAGTCTAGTCTAGTCTAGTATGTCGTATAGTATAGTATCGTACCGCAAAAATATGGCAGCATAGTGTGGTCTGCAGTATGTAATAATTTATTTCAGTAGATGTTATTGTGCACTCTCTAATTCCACAGTGCGTTCCAGTTTCTTAAGGACCCTCTGTAAGCGCCGCTTGGAGACGGCCTGTCTCTGAGACCCACACTTCTGAAGGTGATGAACACAAGTATCAAGGACCACAAAGGATAGGATCCGCAGTCAGAAACCGCCATAAAGGCAGCTTGAAGTTACAACTCCCTAAAACCTAAACCCGCTTAGAGGGGCTTTTCCAGATTCTCCAGGACCCTGAGCTTCATGGTGTGACGAGTGGACCGATGGGTCTCAGAAGAATAAGGCTAATGTAGGGGCCTGAATAATTAGAACAGGGGTTCTAGGGTATATTATACTACAGTTGTAGTAAGGACCCCCCCGCCCCCCAAATGCTATCGGCAATTTTTAATTAGCCCCTATATTATGTAGGGAAGCATAAGACAAGCATCGTCGACCAAGCAAGCTTATTTCTGCTGCCCATGAGGCGGTAGTATCCCCGCGTTGAGTTCCAGCTCTACGCCCATTCTAGTGTTCTTTAAGTAAGCACATGCACGGAAATACACTGCGAAGTAGAAGATGGCATCGTCAGTCTGGCGCCAAACTTCTGAGATAGAATGTGCCTTCAGAAGACATGTGCTACAGGGTCGAGGTTCCGAGCACAATGAATCTCTCGCGCGGAGGACCCGTCAGAGCTCATAACTCACACTGAAGACCCTAAACCCTAAACCCTAAACCCTAAACCGGAATCCCAAGCTCTGCGTCCAACCCATAGCCGCTGAATCCAAGCCCGAAGCCCTACTGTTACAGTTGTGTGCCTCTGAGCTCCTCCACAGTCTTTGATGCCCAGGCGATTCCCGGAAAACTTGGAGCAAGTCCTTCCCGTCATACAGAAACTCTGGGAGAGTGAGCTGGTTTTGCCGAGGCCTCCCTTCGCAATAGGTTCAACAGCCACTCTTCTGCCCATGTTTTTGTTGTGAATCTGTGCAGGACTCCTTGCTCCACTGAATCATCGGAACCCCAGGGCCGTTACCAGTAGTTCTAAAGCTTCGGGGGCATCCCTGAGCCTCACGGCGTGGACCCATTTTTGGATTTAGCGATTTCGAGTGATTTCAAGTGACTGAAGGCAAAGATGAGCATGGGACTGTGCACGATTTTCACCCCAAAACACCCATCAATGTGCGCGGCATTTTGGCGGGAGTGTTGAACATGATAGATATAGAACGGATCGGAGGTTCTTCGCGGACGTGGCGGCACGAGACCGTGCAACTGCCAATTGCCTTGGGAAGGCGCGTCGCGCCATCACCAACCCAATTCCCGGTGTTGCGGTGTTCTATCAACTTGCTTCGGGAACAAAACTGAACACGCGAACACTCTGACCGGTGCTTGAGCTTCAGCTTCAGGAGCGAGACTAACAGGCAGCGAACCTGCGACAACATCTGGCCATCGCCCAAAATGAATGCTGATGTCAGATACAGGCCCCAGAAATTCCGGTCAAAGCGCTGCGGGATGTCAGGGTTTTTACATACCTGAAGCTTCTGTTCCTCCGCCCAAAATCTCTGACCATGCCACTAACTCCGCCGCTAGCGCTTACCGGCTGCAGGTAATTCTGGGACAGAGGGAATAGGAGAGGAATCAGCTCCAAGTTCCTTTCCTTTCGCTCGCGTCCTCGTCAAAGCTCTCGTAGGTGCAGAGCTTCTCAAGGATGGGGTCGCACTCATTGCCATACTCCTAGCTACTCGGAGCTGTTGCTGCCGGATGGCCGGAAGTCGGAAGCTTGAGGAGGCATTGGCAGACATCTGCAGACAATTTCTGATAACTTGACAGAATTCGCCCATATCCTGCCTGGAGCTTGCCGAAAGGCGAGACACCTTGCAGCAAATGGCCACAACCGTATCCAGCCCCTAAGCTCTAAGCTCCACAAACCCTGTATGCCATAAACCCTTCAAAGCCTAGGAGTGCTGAATCTCCCGCATCCCCAACCAAGAGAGGAGCTGTTGACTGTAGGTATAGACAAATGCCCGAAGATTCTAGGATATATTGCGCTGCAACTTTACGGTATATAGCAGATTACTGCATTTTTGCATACAGTACTTATGTATACATGTATGTTTGTATGCATATACAAATTATTGTACACACATGTATGTATACATGTATATATCTATGTAGATATATACAAACATGTTTATGTGAATATATATATATATACATGTTTATATATGTATATACATATACAGAGCATATATATATATATATATATTATACACATGTACCAGGTAGCCCCTACCGTGGTGGTCATCGAAGTGGCGAGTCTGCTAAAATCCACAAAGCACTCAACAGCTGGCCTTTGCAGTCTTTGGGGCCTTTTAAGGGTCCCTTTCAGGGTTCCTTTAAGGGTGGTTTTAGGGGTTGTAGAGGGGCCTTAATAATTGATTAACGCAGGGTTTGGTCACCTTATGTTGTAATCAGGAAGCCTGGAGGAGTATTCTGGCAACTATTCAGGCTTCTAGGCTTCGAAACCCCTCCATAAATAGAGACGTTTGGAGAAGGTCCGACGGAGCCCCAAACAGCCTTGGGTATTTGATAGGTGATAGCAGTGGAGGCCTTTGATCTAGTGCGCATGGTGGTCAGGCTCGTCATACAACCAAAACAGCACGGAAGAGATCATCGTAGAAAGCGTCGGCGGCGAAGGTTTAGGATTTCTGCTTTAGTGGTGGTGTTTGCCTCCAGCAGCAAGCGGACAATCTCGACATGACCTAAGTCGCATGCCGTGATCAAAGCCGCGTAACCCTTCACCAGCTGCAAACATCAATGAAGTGCAACGGCCGTTGTCTGTCAGACTCTGGTTGGAGTCTGCCTCCGGCAGAATGCGAACGATCTCGACGTGACCGGCCCAGCATGCCCTCATCAAAGCCGGGAGACCAGCGTATGCCCTCTCTTGGTTGGCGCCCGCCTTCAGCAGCAAGCGAACGATGTCGACATGTCCTTCGATAGATGTCTCATCAAAGCTGTGCGGCCATTGTCGTGTGCGACGTCCTTCGGCACCTGCTTCCAGCAGCAAGCGGGCGATATCGACATGTCCATCGATAGATGCTTTTATCAAAGCTGAGCAGCCATTCTTGTCTGCCACCTGTTGTATCTCGTCTCTCGGGTTTGTACCACTTACAGGCTCGCAACAGCGCATTGCTGAAGTGGAACCAGCCACTGCAGCGCCACGGCTCCCATGATCGTGGTGCTGATGTGCTGATTGCGGCAACAATGACGTGGGCCGAACTCCACTGACCGAGCCTCCAGCAGTAGTCCTGGCTTGGCCCACTCTTCGAAAACACCGTGTGTCTTCCTGCTACAGCACTACTCCGACAATTCGTGGTCGTCGTGGCATTGGGGTCTGTCGTCGTTGTCATCGTTTCAGTCATGGTCATGGTAACGGAGGTCGTCATCGTGGCCGTCATGGACATCGTGGTGGTGGTAGTCACTGTCTCGGTACCACTGGCCAAAGTAGCCGACAAAGCTGCTGCTGCGTAGAAGACCGTGACCGCACGAGAGATGGCCATGTCTGCCGTGGAGCTAGAAAAAGTTCGCGGTCAGGCGCTCTAGGCTTCGAGTCCTTGCAAAACGGCTGCAGAACGCAGCTTCTCGTCTGGACTGCCACATGGAAACTGCAGCGCCTTGTTGGCACCTGCTTCCAGCAGCAAACGGACGATATCGGCATGTCCTTCGTTAGATGCCCTCGTCAAAGCAGTGCGGACATTTTTTTGTCCCACACCCTTCGTGGCACCTGCTTCCAGTAGCAAGCGCGCGATGTCAAGGTGACCTGCATCACATGCTGTAATCCAAGCCGTTCTGCCGTCGTTGCCTACCAGATCCTTCCAGGCACCCGCCCCCAGCAACAAACGGACGATTTCGGCATGGCCTTCGCGGGATGCCCGTATCAAAGCTGTGTGGCCTGTTAGCCAGTCGATGCCTGACAGATCTTTAAGCTGCCTGCTGGCTCCGGCCGCAGTAGCATGCCGACGATCTCGACATCACCAACAACCACTTCCCAGTGCAAAGCTGTTCGGCCGTTGTTGTCTGCCGCATCCTTGTTGGCACATGCATCCAGCAGCAAGCGGACGATTGCGAGATGTCTTTCGCTGGATACTGTCTGCCACGTCCTTGTTGGCAGCTGCTTCCATGAGCACGCCGACGGTTTCAAGGCAACCTGCACCGGATGCCCTCATCACAGCCGCACAGCCGTGCAACCACGTCTGGATCAGCTGCAGCATGGACTCGACTTTGGCATTGGAGCCCCGCTCAGCAGCTGCCAGGTCGTCCACCTGCGATTGAGAAACGTCAGCGAATGGCAAACACACGAGACTGCAGTGCGGCATGGCCGTCTCCTCCAAGATCTCGCCGTGGAGGAGCCTCTGTCTAAACCGTGGCACCAGGCCGTGCAACTGCCTGATGTCGCTGGGCTCCTCTAACTCTTCTGCTGCTATGCCAGCCACCGCTTCTCCGGAAATCATCCTAACTTGCTACTGGTAGGAATGATGAAGCCAATCTACCATTTCTAAGATGCAGTGTCTGGCCTTGAGCAGAAGAGACAATTTCAAAGGTTCCGATATTGCCTGCCATCTCAAGCAGTCTAACCGGGTGGACGTTCCCAATTTAGGAGGCGTGAAGGAGTCCTGTCCAGCGATTAGCATGATTAGGACTTTCCCGATTTAGGATGCGTGAAGAGTTGGAGGTTCCAGGCCAGCGTTTAGCATGATTTGCCAAGGCAGGGGAATGGGGTGTGCGGCCTTGTCTCTGGTCCCTTCTCTGGAATGAGACTGAACACTTGACCTAAGTAAGGTCAGCAGCAGCAGCAATAGACATGATAAGACGAGTCATGAAAAACGTGTGTAAGCCTTTCTCTAATCAAACCCAGTGCCCTAAACCCTTTTTTTCAGCAGGCTTGTTGGTTCTCGCCTGGACAAGCTGTTCATGTTCGCTAACAGGTGTAGACGCACTACTAAGCCCTAAACCCTTAAAGCCTGAACCATGAACCCGAAGTCCAAAACCCGGAAGGCCTTAGAAGCCTTAAAGCCTTACTTCCCCAATAAGCCAGGGAAATAAAAGGTTAAACCTTCAGATTTTTACTAAGTTATAAGGACCCAAAAAGGTTAAAGGTTGGGTGTTGGAGAACTAACAAGCTCTTGCTCCTATTCTCCTACTCGGCTCGGTCCTGGGGCTCCCGACCCGCCAAGAGCTCAAAAGCTGTCACGCCTACTGCCCAGATGTCGGCTGCCATAGAGAAGCCGGCCTAGATCAGAATGGGGAGGTAGAATTCGGGTGGAGGTCAGACTAGAGTTGCAGGAACATGACGGCATAGTCTTTTGTGATTGTTGTTTACATAAGTTGCTTCCTGCGTTCATGGCCCCGGCCAGGCACCTCCATGAGAGCATGTCGTAGTGTAGAAAAATGAGCTATCAAACATCATACAAAGATCTGTGTATACATACATACAATATATATATATACATATACACACCGATATACACGATATATACACAAAACCTTGGAATACAGTACATTACACTACAGTTCATGGCATTGCCTTGCCTTACAATTCTGTCCATTACACTACAGTATATTCATCACCCACATCATGCAAGATTGTATAATGTTACATCATACTATATTTCCGCCTACTCTAGTTACGGTATAGCATAGTAAAGTATAGCATAGTGACTTATCAAATTCAAGCAGGTCCGGGAGCCATGGAGGTGCAGGCTGCACACCGATGCTGCAAACCCTGAACCGAGAAAACCCACTTCAGATGGCCCTAATATAGACCCGCCTCTTGTTGTCAGGGTGCCAAAATAAAAACCCTTTTTGCCCCAAACCCTTCGGGTAATCCTGTTTTCCGGAATCTGAAGATCCCAGATCAGACTCGACTCAGCGTCACCGTTTCCTAGGCCGTGTTTCGCTGTTTTTTCGTTTGGGTTCGGCATGAGCTTGCGGCGTCGTTGCCGGCTTGCGTGGGATGGCCCGAGTGCCAAAAAATGCCCGGGTTTATGATTGCAGGAACAGGAAGCAGCCCAGTAGCCCCTCAACAGGCGGATCAGAACAGGGAGCACAACTCCTTACCATACCCCATACACAAATGAACGAATTTTGTGCTTGTTGTAGGCCTGTGCGATTGCCAGCTCCGGAGCCAGATACCTGGCAGGAAGTTTGAAGTCCGGCGAAACCCTGCCTGGACGCTAAATCATGCTTACCTTTATGGACTTACATAACGACATCATGATAAGGAGTCCTGAAGAGGGCCCAGGTAAACTCTAAACCGTTTTCGGGGTTTGGCAGGGCTCTACAATTCTTAAGTGACATTGTCCTGGGAAAGGGCTGCCACGACGCATGAGACAGTTGTCGCTTTGAGAAGGACCTGCATAATTACCGTTGCTAAACTGTCGGATCCCTCTGTAAGGACCCTATACATAAAATACCCTAACTTTTACGAAACCAGCATATCATGCTGATATCTGAGGCCATGGCCGGCAGTCTACAAGAAACACCAAATTCACTAACCCCGAAGGTGATTCGAACTGATCTCACCCAATCCACGTAAAGTCTGGCCGAATAGTAGCGAATCCCGGCACCTCCAAACATCAAGCCCTGAACCATGGCAGCCCCGAGAGAGAAAAAAAAAGCAACAGCTGCAGCTCCCTGAACGCCCAGCAGCGAAAAAGCCAAACCCCGAACCTTGAAAAGCCCGAAGTCCCCAACCCCTGGTAGCCCCTACAAAAACCCAGAAATTCTCCGCCGGCAGCGCGACACCGTCCCCGCGAACTCCTTCACTTTGCCCTTGTAGGGTGTTGCCAGGCCAAAGTCAATCACCTACAAAGCTTGGAAGCTGCGTCGTTCTGGGGGCTTTCACATTCCGATAATTATTTGGGCCTCGGAGTTAAGGCTTTTAAGTTTTTTTTGTATGGGGTTACACACATCATAAGGATTGAAGGGGTTGTACAAAGGTGTCAGGAGGATTCCACTGGAGCTTCGTGCTTTAGGGCTCAGAGTGCTTCACGAGGTGTCTGGAAGGCTTTACAGGGTCGAGTTGGCTTTGGATGTGGCTTGGATTTTGATTTGAGTCAAGAACCCTAAGCCCTAAGCCCTAAGCCCTAAACCCTAAACCCTAAACCCTAAGCCCTAAGCCCTAAACCCTAAAAGTCCTTGGGGGCTGCTAGGAGTCAAGCAGTGGCCTGGCTTTCTCTGGGCTCTTAAGAAGATTCGGGTTGATATTCAACCATCAGAGGCATCCTTCAGGGTTCTAGGGGTGACCAGATAGGCTCTGGGGGAATGTATAGCGTTTAGGGTTTAGGGTGCAACTTTCTGACCGACATGACATGTCTACCAGGCTCTTTATGTCTATGGTTCATACACGGCCTTACTGAACTTTTCATGTTATACACGACATCTTTACAGGGAGGGGGGTGGGTTTACATTTGTCTGCAAGACTGGCCCAGAAGTTTCGTAGGGGCTATCTTGGTAACCTCAACACACTCTCCCGCCCTCTGCCTCATGCCTGACCATTCATTCTCTGGCTCCCTCCAATTATTCAGCTGCCCCAGGTTGTAGCGGGAAACTTATGCAGCTTCTGGAAAACAACAGAACATCTAAGTTTCCAAGCTTGCTTCCAACAAGTAAGGGTTTTACAAGGTCCAGCTACAAAAACAAACATTATCTCACAAAGCTCCGCTCATGCCGCCTTGCACGTGGCATCGTCGTCCAAGCTCGAGAGCATAACGTTCTCCGGCTTCACGTCGCGGTGCGTGATGCCACCTCAACATGACATATCATGACATGCATCTGCGAAGTGTAAGTGCATCCTGATGGTTCATGGTTCACACCGGAATCTTTCCGACCGTGGTTAATCCGCAAAGCACATGTCGAACACTCCTGGCCGCAAGGAAAAAGGCGTTATACCTGGAGGCCTCTTATCCTTGCAAGCAAAAGTCGTCCGTGGATCAGCAACTGTGGGCCAGACCACCAACCCAGAAAGCCCAATTCACCTTAAGTAAGAAATATAATATACCTTAAATCATAATATGAAGGTCCCTAGAATTTGAGGTATGTTCCTTATTTCAGGGGGTATGGGGTTCTCTGGGAACGTTTTAGCTGTCTTATGCTCCAGGCAAAGATGCTCAAACCTTGGGCCGGACTTGAGACCGAAGGGTGCGCCCCAGGGGGCCTTTCTGGGGAACCTCTTCTTTTGGAACCCCAAACCCGTAAAGCGAACGCCATTCTAGAATAGGGTTGGGGGCATACTATACTATAAATAGAATAGGGAACCCCCAAAACCCTAAAACACTAAACCCTTGTAGGGATCAGGAGGAGTAACGAAGACGCTTCTGAGTCCGTCCCATTGCTGGCAGGCACTGGTCGCAGGAGACCGCGAGCCTGACCTCCAAGCGGTCTACAGGCTCTTCAAACCTGTCATTACGCATATAATCATAACGAAAACAAATGAGAAGAATAATACGAACAATAACAATGACATTTACAAAAATAATGTTAACATTCATAGTAAATTCATCGTGGAAATAATAGTAATAATGTGTCGGGGTTTAGGGTTTAGGGCCCCGGCTGCTGTGGCAATAGTTCAGCACAACCAGAAGCTGGTGGACGATCCTGGAGATGGCGAGACTTCTGCGGCTCGCGTTTCAACGCAGGGTGTAGGGTTTAGGGCTTAGGGGCCAGGTCTTGTGGTATCTGTACCGTAAGTTGCTAGGCCGCCGAATATACAACCAGATTCCAGGCTCCAGACAAGTACACAGCTTGTTGGATGCTTTTGGCCAGTGGGTGTGTCAATGGAACCAGAGCTCTGCAAACTTCCCGCAGGGTGTCAGAAATTAAGGGGCCCTGGTATAATTATGAACCTCAACTGGTATGAAAGAACACTGCGGTGTCAGTACGACCGACACCCTACATATACCCTTTGACCCTAGAGCCTACGTATACCCCCAAATTTAGAAGCTCCCTTTTGTTGAAATCCCGCAAACCCTAAACCCCTCAGCCTTTCTCGATTTTTCAACCCACAAACCAGCAGCGCGCAAGCCCGAAAACCCAAACTGAAGCCGGGAGTTCAACATGAAAAGACTTCAAGATTTAAATATACTATAAACCGTCAGACATTCGAAGTAACACAACATAGCATAAGAAAGCATAACATAGGACAGTTCAAAAGAGCCATAACAGGCCTGGCTGCCAACTCTTCTGGAAGAAGGCGATCCCTCTCCTATTGCAGGTCACATGCCCAGATGTTTCGTGATAGACTTCTTCCTTATAAGCATTCCTCAACAAGATATAGAGTATACACCTCCTTCCCCCACCCAGCGCAATCCCTGACTCTATCTGTTGGGCCTCTCTATTAGATGCCATGGCTGGTGTGTCGTATATTTTAGTGTACACCCGAACACCGATTGCAGAGAAAGCCACAAGAAATTCAAGTACAACGCAAGCTCCAGACGGAGTAGACCCTTTCCGCCCTACGTCGAGAACATTTCATGTCGCGGTCTTCACATATCTGCTGGCTGCAAGGTTCAGGGCATCCCAGGAAACAGGTGCAACCCATGGCCAAGTGGGCATCTCGAGACTCGAGACCGTCTGCAACAAGGAAGGTGGCCTTGTTTTGATCCACCAGAGGCAGCCATGGACGACTGTATCTTGCAGTATGTCATAGCAGACCATTATGCCATTACATTCTAGTAGTAGTTCCCCGTCGCAAACCACAAGGAAGCGCGGCACCTCGAGGAGGTCTATGCAGTCACCACCAGGGACGTACCTCGTCTCTAACAGGGGGGAGGGCGAGGGGCATCGGAGTTGAGGTGGATTTTCGCAGTTCCAGAAGCTTCGGGGCCTCAACGTTCGAGTGCAGTGGGGAGTCTCTCATCTTGGGCATCATGTCGCTAGCGGTCACAAAAAACTCCGCAGACACGCAGTGCACAGACTCTCTCTGCATGGGTGAACTTAGCAATGGGAAAGTATAGATGTTGCGGTTTATGGTCCTGGAGTGTGAACATGGGCAATTTTCTTTTGCGCATCCACACTCACACCAGACGACCTTGAACATTTCTAAACTTACACCTAGGACCTCAAACAGGCTTCGCACAAGCGAACGGATTCTGAAAGAGAAGCACAGGAGAAGGAGGCTCGAAAAGTTGCAGGTTCTACTGTTTGAAGTTTGGGTTTCGGGGTATGTCTCTGACACGGTCAACCCCTTTGAGGGGTGCTAAGTTTCTCAGCCGAAGGGCTCCAGGATAAGGACCAGCTCTTGTCGCTTTTCGTCCTCAAGGACTGTGAAGGCTCGCACAGACAGGAAATCGATGTGGTATAGGGTTTCTTGGGGCTTTCATGCTCGGTCCAGTGACTCGATGTCTGCTTGCTGCTTCGCTTTTAAAGTCATCGGATGCCTCCCATACCAAAAACCAGACAACTGTGTCGGCATGCATGGAACCTCGGGGTGCAAATAACGCAAGCCTTTAAACTTGGAACCCACTCACAGCCAAGCCGTTTATCGAAGAATGCCGAAATGGATGCTCCTCTGGCTTTGACACATCAAGCAACGCTGATTAGGCTGTGGCTGCCCTGATCTGCGTACAGTGTTGACTGCAGATGTCAATCCGCATGTTCAATCCAATTTTCAGCACGGGCTTTGGATGTTCCATCCAACTGAAACAGTAACAGCAATTACTCAAACCAATTTCTCAACCAAACGAATTACCACGTGAGTCTCAAACTTTAGCCTCCAAGCCCTGAGTCTCTGGTTATACTTCGCAGAGGTCAACACGTCGCAAAACTCCCTTAGCTGACCCACACGCCTCTGCGAACTCGTAGAGCCTCGCACTCTTTCAGCCCAGGGATTTGATTTGGGGCACCGATTTCCAGACATCAAGCTGTACCTATAGTCGCCAGCTGGCATTAAATGAGGCATGAGGCAGCCGGCGAGCTTTGCTTAAGCTTATGCGGTTGACAGCTTCGGCTTTTCCTCTCGCACTCGGACATGCAGGCGCAAAAACTTGTGAATGGTCCACAAAATCACAAGTGCAAATGTACGTGTAAGCGTGCAAGCAGCGAACAACTCTCCGGCTGACCGCCACAAACTGTGACCTGCGCTCCGGCGCCTTGTACCGAACCCAGAACTTAAACCCCATTCGAGTCGATCACAGATTTGTACCTTTCCTAAATGGCTGAGGTCAAACCCCGGCTCCGAACCGAAGGGCACGACAGAACAGCAAAAAGAACTACACTTATATAAATAAATAAATATATATATATATATATATATACATATATATATATATATACTTATGCTTGGCTTGAAGCCTAAATGACACCAAGAGGCCGAACGATGTTGGGGTGGTCTAAGGCAGAAAGGATCTGGACTTCTTTCCTGCGCGTCAGAGGCTTCCATTTCTGAGCACGAAGGTCCACGCTCACAAGGATTGGGGGGTCTATACGACAAAGCTGCTTCCATTTTGCAGCTATGGTTCACGAAAGCTTCTTTCACGCAACTATACCACACAACACCTTGTATTCTGCAGCTCTAATATAATCCTTAGGGTGCAGACGGGTGCAGGTCTTGGGCTGTCTCGACTGTGGTAGCCGAGCAAGACTCGAGATTCTAAGAAGGTTAAAAATAAGAATAAGAACACTAATCGCAATAAAAGTAAGAATTATACTGCAACTAATGAGAACATTATTGACAGTACTGATAAAAATAATAATGATGACGGGAGGGGTTGAGATAATGAGGACCTTCGCATGCATCCGGACTGGTGGGCCCCCTGAGTTTAGGAGAACCCTAAACCCTAACCCCTCAACGCGTGATCAGAAAGCCGGAGTCGAATAAGCCCCTATGGTCCTGCGGTCTAATGTAGGGAACATGGCTTTCAAGGCTTCAGGCATCTAACAGCCTTTCGAAATGCAGATCTTCCGGGATTTAGAGTTCGGCCTCTTTCGGAATTCGGTGCGTAGGCAGAAAGAAGCTCGGAGGACATCTATTCAAAACACACTTCCGTGTTGAACATGTGCTACCTGCCACCATCTCATGGCGCCAGGAAGCGGCTTAGCCGTCGTAATAAATACGACAGTGCTTACTTATCTGATATGAACTGCCAGTCTAATCAGGAGAGCCATGATAGTTACATGCTATACTGATGACCAGTGAAAGCTATGATAGTTGTATAGAGGTAGACATTAATTACGGCTAGGCAAGGACGAACAATGATCATAATAATGACAAAAGCGGCGTCAACATTATTGTGACGTTCGTGACCGTGAAAAAACATGAAGTGAACAGGAGAAGTAACGACAAACTGTGTTTTGGTAGGCCTGAAGAGTCGGGTCGATGTAATTACTCGATGCGTGGCCTCACACTCAAAGAAACGTAGTGCAAGTTGCGTTTCAAGGTCGAAAGTCTTTGTCCTAGTTCCAGGTCTAGGGCTCAGATGTGTAGAAGTCTCTCGCACCACCGCGAAAATGTAGTCTAATGTAGTAGCAGAAAGTATTAGTGTGTATACTGTCGTATATTATACTATAACAGCATGTAAACCTATCGAGGGGATTCCCCGGCCTCATCATGCCGAGCACATGTGGGTCCATGTCCTTGAGATCGATGACCTGCTCGCCGGCAAATGGCGAAGGGAAGCGGGAAGCTGCGGTGCTCCAAGTGATGGCTTGACCAACACTGGCATCCGCATGAACACTATTCTGGCCACTCCGGCTGATGAGAAACATGCCAAATCTCTTGAAAGTTACTGTAGGGTTTTGGGTGTTACTGCGTGTGACTTTAAGGAGTACTAGAATGCTACAGGTACTGTAAGGGTTACGGCTACAATTTGGATATCAGGACACTCCACGTCTGTGCTGCCATTCAATTCCTGAAACGGCGCAACACATGTCCTTTTATCGAATCATGAACTGTGCATTATGTATGCAAGTTTATTTATAATGCCCGTAGCCAGCGTCGACAGACAGATGGATAGATAGGGAGGTTCATAGGCAAATAGATGTGTACAGCTCTATATACATACATATATATGTGCATACATACATACATACATACATACATACATACATACGTACATATGTACACATGTACATACACATGCACACATACACACATACACACATACACACATAAACACATACACACATACATACATAACTTTGTATATGCTAGCCATATGTATATACATACAAATACGTATACATACACATGTACATATATATATATATATGTACATACATACATATGTGCCGGAAACCGACTGTAGTGTCAATCCAGAGCCTTGCAAACGCGCAGCTCGTCGGAACGACGCTCCCTGACCAAGTTCACCCGGGAGAAGCTGCCAACATTCAGCCTGGCCGTGCTGCAACTCACCCAGTCGCTTGTCTCTGCATCTCCGGTTCAGGGTGTACGGTTGAAGGTTGTTGAAGCTCAATCAAGATCAGAAGCCCTTCAGCGATTCGGGTCCGGGTTCTGGCATCCCATGGAGGTTCAGGAACCATACGACAAGCGTCCATGAGCCCGTCCATCTGAAGACCCAAAAAGACAAATATCACCTTCTAGCCAAATAGTGCAAGTCCGGATCCCAATGCAAAATCCAGTCCCCGGAACCCGTATGGAAACCTTGAAGGACGCCTTCAAGGGACCCTCAAAGAAACTCTTAAGGGGACCCGCCGGATCGTTCAAGACACCAGACACGACAATGCCAACTGTGGTACAGCCATTAGCACAAAGCATCTACAATCTTACCCAAAGCATGCCTGAACGCCGTAGGAACCTGTCCAGAGGGGTGTCATGAAATCTCACCGAAACCGCGAACTGAGACGCCTATACAAGCCAGCATTCTAGAGGTATTCAAAAGATAAACCCTAAACCCTAAACTCCTAAATCCTGAGCCCTAAACTCCTAAATCCTGAGCCCTAAACTCCTAAACCCTGAGCCCTAAACTCCTATTTAAAAAGGCCTTGAGGCCCTGAAACCCTCCCGGAGCCGAAGATAGTCAAACAACTGCGAGGGCAAAGCCTCCTCACGACCTGGCGCGACATGCCATGTACTGTAAGGGTTTAGGGTTTAGGGTTTAGGGTTTAGGGTTTAGGGTTTTTAGTTAGGGAATATACCTAGAATTATGGGGGCCTCAGTATTATGATTTAAGGTACATTCCTTAATAAAGGTGTATTGGGCTCTCTGGGTAGAAATTTTATTTCTTCTAAAGGCTTGAAGTAAGGCGCCAAAAGCCTAGGAGGAATATCGGCACCAGTGATCTTTATTCTGGCATCTCCAGGCTTTGGGGATGCAGTCTAGAGCATTTTGGGTCATGCAGGTTTTTTTCCCTCTCGCATGGCAGAGAACTATGCTCACAGGCGAGGTTGTCTAAAGGGGCTTTCCACAAGCATCCAATTCAGTAGTCTTCGCGATGTTCATGTAGACTGCATTCAATTTGTAGGTTTTCTTCTTCACACTCCCGCAACACGAGCAACGCCCATCTACCAAGTACAATCAAGTCAACTACAAGGTCGATCATGCAGGTTTAGGGCTTAGGGTTTGCTTTGCGGCCGGCATCCGTTTCAATCTCCAGGATTGAAGGGCTTGGGCTCTGGGGCTTTGCGGGCTTCTGGATCTTTAGCTGCGAAAACCCAAGCAGATCTAATTCAACTATGGGCTTCTCCTTGACTATGAGCGCCGACAGGTCCTTTTTTGACCCTAAACCTCAAAGCCTACAGAGACCTTACTGTAGGGGCCTTAATAAATAGAATATTGAATAGGGTCTTGGGATATCTTACGCTATAACTATAATAAGGAACCCCTTTTCTAATTATTAAGGTCCCTACATTAAACCTCAAAGCCTACAAAGACTCTACAAGGAGATCCCAGACGTGTTCTGGCTGCAGCTCGCACATTCTGCCAGCCTCGTAATGCTGGTCCACGAAATCTGCCGACCTTAGGTCATGGTGGGTTTTAGGGCTCTGGGTTAATGTAGGGGCCTTGATAATTTGAACAGGGTTTGGGGGCCTCCTTATTATAACTATAGCATACTATACCCCAACACCCTATTCTAATTATTAAGGCCCCTACATTGCTCGTCTCCTATTGTGCACGAAGCTTGGAAGGGCTGCCATCCGTTTGCTTGCTGCATGGCGATGACTTTTCCTGACCCTACGGACTGGCCTGGGGGGGTTTAGGGTTTAGGGTGGGCAGGCTCAAGTTGCTGTCAGGCCATGTCTCGCAATATATGATATGGCAGCAGTACGAGCAGCTTTTGGATGCTGGGCTCTGAGTGTCAGCCACGAGAAGACGAGAAATGTCGAAGACTGAGACGAAGGCCACAACACAAGCACTGGTGGGAGGTGGGGTTTGGGCATTTGGGGTTTTTTGGGTTTAGGGGGCAGAACTCTTACGGAACTACAAGGCCAGGCTCCCTGCAAATGTCTGGAAACAAGCTCCGCCTTGCGCACGCCTCGCGCACCTCTTTGAGAAGGCCGCAAACTTTTAGGACTCTTGAGATCTAGGGTCAGGGCTCTGGAGGAAAACTGCTTGTCGAAAAGTCGGGAACGCGAGAGCTTGGGAAGCGCAACGAAGGCCGGGAGAGGGATGTTGCCGTCAAGTTTTGAAGGATTGGGTGGCTGGTTTCCGTAATGCAAACATATGCAGTGATGAAGAATCCCCTTTTTACTCCGTCCTGACTTCAGCTTGCGCCCAAAAAGGGTTGAGGTTTCGACTCGCTCACTCGCACGAAGGCAAGCAAGGGTCTAGGCGTGGACGCCATTTTTGGGCCGGCCATCATGCCTCCACTGGCCTGTTTGAGGGATCATGAGCCGCAGCACTATTTTACTGAGTACTCGTTTTAGCCCTGAAAGCACTCTCAAGATCTCTCAAGGCCCCCACAACCAAAACCAGGGCCTCTGCGGCAGGGGACCATGAACCAAGAAGAAGACATGGGGCTCTTGTAGAGACCCTAAACCGTAGGATGCCTGCAAAAATGATACCAGCCTTTGGAATCGTAACTTTATGAAACCACCACTCGGGTTTGGGTGGTAACTTATTATTATGTGCTCCTTATCGTGGTAGCAAAACTTAAGACTGCGTTAGGAAGTATTGAGGTTCCTACATTCCACGATGACACTCGACATGTGCAAGCTGCAACACCGCCTGAAAAGCATGGCTTATCGGTTCCCATCTGCCTTTATGGGACGAGGCAAAAGCCCTTGACAACCCAAAATGCAAGGATCCTACGGTTCAGGGTTTACATTACGGGGTCGTGTATTTTCTGCAAGTCCCTTACACTTAGATCCGGTTTCAAGCCTCGCCAGAATGCCCGGGGCTCCTCCTGCCGAGCCATTTTCAGCCGGACCGGCCTGGGTCAGGGGTTTAATGTAGGGGCCTTAGAATAGGGTTTTGGGGCCCACTATACTACAATAATAACAAGGAACCCCCAAAATAGTGTTGGTAATTATGTAGGCCCCTACAGTAGGGTCAGGCTTCGTCTGCAGGGGTTTTTCTGGCCTTATCTCGGGGCTCAAGGGGCTCAGGCTTGGTTTGCATGGCTGTTCGATAACACTAGCACCTTAAGTACGAAGACTCAGTACTAGTCTAGTGCCATTAATGAGTATATATATATATATAGCTACTTAGTACGAAGTAGCCACATTCCCTTCGAGGGACGAACTGCGGTGCATACTAATTATTCAAGGCGTTCCTGAATGTTTGCGGGGTGCCGCCCTCCCACACACAAAACGAAATGCTAGACAAAAGTGGCCCGTGTAGTAGTTTGTTAATCCGCCCACGTTGTCCCGTGCTGGATCGTAACAAACGGCACCATCTGCCACCTGCTCTCCGCGAACCCTACACAAACACTCACCTACTTTTTGTAGCTCTGTCTTGAGCAATGTCTGAGCTTCCAACCGAGCTGCTGATATGACCTTCTCCCCGCTCTTTTTGAGCCGAGGAACGGCGCAAAGCTGCATTGAGACTGGTAGTGGGATAACCTAACTCCCGAAAGTGAAGCGGAATCGATTCCCACTTCTTGTTTAGTTCTCCTCCTGGTACTGTGCTGCGGAGGCTACCCCCACCACAAATAAGTACTGTGAAAAGCAACTGTACCTGAAAACCAACTCAAGTAGCTTGATGTAAAGGTAGTCGAGTGAAGTAAACTAAACTATGCCACTACGGCTACTACTAGTCCTATTACTGCTACTGCTCCTGCTAGTGCCGCCACTGCTTCTTTCTGCTACGAAAACTGCTACTGTACCGCTGCCCAGACATCTCAAAGTACGCCATAGAGCTTCGAGGCAAAAGGTCGAAGAAAAATACCTGGAAATCCAATACTGTCCTGGAGATCAGCAACTAGCCGACACTGGCTATGCTGATGGAGTCTTGGGGACTTTTTCCGGAAGCCCAGGCTCCTTTGGCTGTGGACTCTTCGCTGGAGCTGTACGGGATTATTCTTATGCTGGTTTTCGGCACCGTGGCGATGCGGGAAGCCGGAGAAAAATGCCCCGCGAGGATGCGGACAAGCAGTACGGCTGAGGTCTCTGCAAGCAGAGCCCCACATGTCAAAGAGAGACATGAAGCAGCTGAACAGAGACATACAGCTGCTGCTATTGCTGCTGCTGCTGCTTCTGCTGCTGCTGCTGCTGCTGTTGCTGCTGCTGCTGCAGCTGCTGCTGCTGCTGCCACGTCTCCGAAGATTGCCAGAAGCAGGAACCTCAACAACAGTTCATAGTACTCGAAACAGTAGCAAGAAAAACCCTTTTGCCTTCATGTGCTGAAAGGCACTTTTCAGCTGCGAGAGCCTGGTCTGCAGGCGACCTGGTGACCTGGTGACATGCGCGGGAAACAACATGCCTGGAAGCTCCACTTTGGGTTGCCGGCAAGGCTAGTACAGCTGCGCATGCCCCAGCCATCGCCCCAACTCTTCGTACCAGGCGCCAGCATGATCACCCCCACCTGCGCGGCTTCGGACATGTTATCTCACGCACGCAAGGAAACGACATAGGCGTGTTTACCTACAACATGGACAGAAGTCCTTGCAGCCTCTGGGGATAAGCCCAGCATGGGGTACTTTTGCCTTTGGGGCGAAGAGTCGTGGCAGAATAGGGCCGCCAGAAGCCCTGAAAGGCTTCATGGGGGCAAGCAGCCGTGTCTGCAACTATCTTGTCTGCAGGAGGGCTTCTTTTTCACAAAGCTTTCAGCTGTAATGTGACGACAAGGCCGACAAGGCCAGATATTGAAAACAATAGGAATCGCACATCGCGGACGTGGTAGAATGAACTGCTGCAAACACAACACAGCCACCGTAAAGCATTGGGAAGCACATAAATTGCTGTAGCACGAACTAGTCTATGCACAAATCCGAAAATCGGTTAGCCTAACGCATTCGGAGTATGTTCAGAAGACAGGCACACATGCTTTGTATGTCTGCATGTTTGTGTGTATGTTTGTGTGTATGTATGTATGTATGTATGTATGTATGTATGTATGTATGTACGTAGGTATGTATGTATGTATGTATGTATGTATGCATGTATGTCGTGTACATGTATATTCATATTCATACACATACATACATACATACATACATACATACATACATACATACATGCATACATACATACATACATACCTACCTACATACCTGCATACCTACACACACACACATATATATATATATATACACATGTATTATACACATTTGACACTTTATATCCAACGAGAGAGAGAGAGAGATTGGCACAGATGCATACACATACCTGAAACGCATGAACACAGACAGGTGTAGACACATGCACACAGCAGAAGCAAGATGAAGCAACACGAACAACATGCCCGAGTCCTAAACACTGCCAAACCCCTACCAGTAAGGCCTAAATCCCAAACGGTGCAAACACACGCAGGTTGTCCGAACGGTCAGCGAAGATTTAGCTAGCAAAAACCTCCAAAGCCCCCTACAGCCCCCCCTCCCTCCGGCAAAAAATCGTATAGTAACTCTTACAAGTACCCTCATAAGTGGCCTAATGGGCCTACCTAATGCCTGATAGTAACCCATACTAGCATGCACCAACCGAATAGTAACAACCTTATGGTAACCTTATAGTAACCCTTACCATCGTAGTCCGGGCGCAGAGAGGAGCTTCCAGATGTTCCGGAGCTCTCATCGTCGCTGGAGCTGAGGCTTAACCTTAGGGTTGTAGGATTTAGCCACCGAGTCTCTGACTCCAGGGTGAGGCAATAGTCATGCGATTCTTGGGTTTAGGTATAACGGCATAACTTCCGTTCTGGGCTTCGACGAGTAATACACAGCAAGGCCCAGCAAGGTGTCACTCTTTTGATTTGGCAAGGAAGTTTGCAGCCGGGCCCTACATGGGTCTGAACAGTTCGGGACGGGATGTATGCGAAAACAGAAGCCCAAGAACACCAACCCTGATATGACCAGGGCACGCTTGCGCGACGCCTTTGGAGAAGCGGCCCACGACGTCTGCAGAAGAGTGGCTTCAGCTCTACCTTTACAACCTTAAGCTTCTGGATGAGATTTCTCATAGCGCCATAAATCACCGAATCGATCCTACGTTCGAGTCGGTTACCCGTCGAAAGAGTGCACGACAACCGTAAACTGTCCAAACAACGAAAACACACAAACTGACTCCGATACCCTCACAAAGAAGCCTGAAGAGACTACAGAGTCTGATTTGGGCCGACCTTTCAAGCATTCTCTCTCTGTCAGGAGAATAGCTGCAAGGCTATAGCTGCAAATTTTGGTAGTGGTGGTGGGTAGCACTGGTCACAGCAAGAACAGCTGCAGCAGCAACCTGTTCGCGGTAGCACACCACCTAAGACTGACCTCAAGTCAGCGACCTTCCTTGGCAAAGGTTTCTGACAAGGGTTTTGCTCCAGCCATCTGCTTCCGAAGCTCAAAACACAACTCCCAACGCCGCATCCCAAAGAGTCCCAACGAAAAACACGCCATACAGAGTTCCCGAAGCTACAAAAGAGCCCCACACGGCTAGGATGCAAGGCCTGACCACCCGGCCCAAGAAGAGTCGTCGGTCCCGTCCCTAAGTCAAGGACTTGGAACTGAGGATTCGGCTTGGCGTTGGTGAACTAGGAAGTCGGGCTAGCCACTGAGCTTGGGGTTGCGTTGACGTCTGCCAAGCTGAAAGCCAACAGCCGCCAGCAGCAGCATAGTTTGATGGTCAAGATGCAGCCGATTCCACAGTTGCAAGAACCGGTGCGGCAGCTATCGGCCACAATTGTTGTGATGCGTGGTCGCGGTGATGGTACTGGCAGTACAGATTGACAAAGCGGTGGTCGCATGGTCGTCGTTGCGGTGGTTGTTGTTGTTGTTGCTGTTGTCGTTGCTCACGCAACCTCTCGAGGTTGTTGTTGTTGATGTTGTTGTTGTGGTGGTGGTGGTGG